CGGCTTCCAACGAGGCAACCGAACAGCTTTCCGAGGATGCCACCTGGCTTCGAGCACAATTGCATGTCTCCACCATGCAGTCAGAAAACCCAATACCCCTTAATTAGGGAATTTTTACCTCAAACCATAAGATTAAGGCCCCTTTAATTTAAGGCATATTCCTTAATTAAGGGGTATTGGATTCTCTGGGCAGTCGTGCGGCGGGACCGCAGCAGCCGCCAGGCTGTCACAGCCGGCACGGAGGCCTTCATAGGGTTTGGCGTCTCAGGAAGATAGAACCTTCATCAAGCCATTTTGTGTAGCATTGTATACCACAATGTAGTAGAACGTAATATAATAGAGTACTAGAGTACCCAATAATAGACTATAGATATAAGAACCCCAAACCCAAAACCCCAAACCCTTAAACCTAAACCCTTAAACCCAAAACCCTAAACCCTAAACCCCTAAACCCCTAAACCCTTAAACCCTAAACCCTAAACCTTTCACGGGTTTGGAAAGGAGGTCACAGGCCTGCCTAAAGCGGCGACGCTGCGCCTCCATCGATGTCCGCCGAAGCAAGTCCTCAAGCCTTTCCCGTATTAGGACGGCTGGCGCCATTGTAGCGCAAAATCTCTAAGCACTTCTCCACATCCGTTGGTAGCGAGCTTTGCGACAAGTTCTCCTGTTTGCGAGAGACTCGAAAGCTGTGGGCGCAACAAGAGGCCCTTGCGACCATCGCGACAACCAAAGACTCGCAGGCAATGTAGTCGATGATGGCGCTGACTGGGCCAGCACCGTACGCCAATCAGTTTATCCAGGAATTTAGTCGCAGCCAGAAAAGCCAGGAGAACATCTCTGAGCACAACAGGCAGGAGGATACCTCCTGAATCTGTCAGTTCAATCCACGAAACCCTTGGACCATGCTTGACCTGCTGAGGCGGGAGTCGTCCCGTACAGACAACGAAGTTCGTGAAAAGTTCAAGATATGTGATGCCCGCTAGCGTGTGGGGGGAGGCTGAAATCTCAGCCGCCGGCCACTGCAACTGCTGACACCACGTATACAGGCTCTGCAAGAACTCCGGGGGCCACGTTGTCTGTCGCGAAATACGTGACATGGCATCCGCAGGACCAGGAGGTGGGCCAGAGAGCTGCTGAGATGAGTCTTGTAAGGCACACCACTGACCCAGTTGATCGTTGTCATCTGCAATGCCAGATTGGTTATCAGCCGTAGCATGAGCCGCCGCGCTGGTGAGGCTGCCAACAGCCTTCGTCAGTTCAAGTTGGTACTGAAAGAACGTAAAGAGATTGGCCTCTTGCTCGTCGTACCAGTGGGCAACCGCGTGAAGCTGCTCCGACAACCCTGGCATGTCTGCTGCTTCTGCTCCTTTGGCTGCCACATCAGCGACATGATTGCCAATGGCAGGTAAGAGCTCTTCAACTGGCACTGCTGCAAGGTCCTGGTGAGATTTGACCTTGTGGAGCCGATAGTTGGTGGGCCGACGTCTGGGAAGCAGAGCAAGGAGGTCTCCGGCACTGGAAGGAGGAGGCTGCGCACCAAATGGTGAATCCAGCCACTTTTGCATCACCTGGAGCGCGCTGCTGGAGTCAGTCCAGATGCGGAAATCATGTGCAGGATGCGCGCATGCGATTCGCACCGTCTGTATCAGAGCCGCGACCTCGGCACGGTAGATGGATTGCTCACCTGGCAAGAGGCCTTGTGCAATGACAGGGAAGGTAGCCTGAAGCAGCCGCGGCTCAGCCAGGATTGTCTGCAAGGCCTGGGGCTCTGGCAGTTGGCTGTGCAACACAACGCTCCAAGCTGCATGACGAGCGGCAGGGCATGTGGGGTGAATACACGAGCCATCTGTGAACAGGTGATGCTGACGGCACGCTTGTTGGGCTAGCAAGGGGCCAACCAACGGTGGCGGCAAAAGTTCCCGGCTGTTCCAGAGCAACCTGAGAAAGTCTTCATCTTGGTGCACAACCGGGAAAGGGGCATGAATCCAGTGCGGGACGGTTTCCCCAATCCATTGCAGCAGATGCTGGAAAGGCTGACGCACTGAAAGGAAGGCTGGGCACTCAAATTGCCTGTGAGCCTTGGTATCGGTTCCGCCACAGTGCGGGCACGCCCTTTCAACAAGTGGATCAAATTTGGCACGGGCAGCACGGGACAGAAAACCTCCTACCACACTCCGGGCCAGGTGCACCTGGGCGCCAGGGGGGAACTTGGTGAGCACCCGACGCATCATGCGGGGGCACGGGCATTGAGTCTGCTGTAGCCCATTGCGGTGCCCAACTCGCTCGTGTAGTGTCTCATTCCAGGCGGCTTGGCAGGCAACACGTATCTGCCGAGGTGTGCTGCTGTAGAGGCAGAGTCGCCAGTGGCCTGCACCCTTCAAGATTCCAGTGGTCTGCAGCGTCCAGCCCTGCGCTGCAAGTTGTTTGGCCAAAGAGGCAGCAGGGCCAATGATGCGTCTGGGAGCAGAGCTCGGGGCACCTGCTAGATGAAGCCACTTCCTACCATAGTCCGGAAGCGCGCGCAGGAGGCGACGAAGTGCGCAAAGTGCCTGCGTCAGCAGGTACACCGCAGGGTCCAAAAGGCTGTCACTGAGGCATCCAAGCGCAAGGTGGGGTGACATTGAGTGGTTCTCCCCACAGATTGCACGAGCAGCACTGGATCTCAACTGTTCAATCTTGGCATCAGGAACATAGTGGCCCTCGAGACCGTAAAAGGTAGCTGGCCAAATTCCAGTCTGAACGAGGTGTGCTGCGTTGTACAGAGGGCGGTGCTGGCGCTGAAGCCGCTGGAGACGCTGGAGCCCTTCAGTGATGCGGAGGGCAGCCTTGCCAGGCCGCCAACCCGATCAAAGCGGAAAGCCACGCCAAGGTCTTTGGCCTCAGAAACAAGCTGCAGTCGGCTGCCATCTGGGCAACCTGGGAGTGGCAGCTTGGCCCAAAAGGAGCGGAGAGCTCGAGTGGTCCCCCATGCAAATGATTTGGTCCAATCTATGGGCAGCAGGAGGCTATTGCAAAACCGAGTTGCCTTATGGAGCATGCTGCAAAGCAGGCCGGCCTCAGCCGCAAGCCAAGACAGGTTGTCAACGTAGACCCATGGCCAGGTGTGCTCCTGGCTGGTACTGGCAACAAGTGCCCAGCAAATCGCAATTTGGCCAACAACCGATAGGGGATCCCCCTCAGGTGCGCCTGTGGTGCTGGTGACCGGGCTGCCAAGCTCACCATGGAAAAGTGCATACCGCATGTTGCACTCGAGAAACTGGAACCATATCTCAACAATGTGAAGTGGCACGTGCAGGTGCAGCAGAAGGCGGCGCAACGGCAACCGTGGGAGCTGATTGAAACACTTAACAATGTCGAGAGAGAAGCCTCCGAGGGGCCGCTCAGCACGCAGTGCCTCTTCGAGCATAAGTTGGATGACCAACGAGATGTCGCGGGCACCCCGCCCTGGCACACAGCCCCGCACCGATTCAGGCAGCCAGGCGGCCCAATGCTGAAGTATTGAGCGGGCTGCGACACTGGACCAGAGGCGGTAAATCGTGGCATAGACAGTGATGGGGCGACCTTGGCCGATATGCTGAGGCTCATCGACTTTGGCAAGTACATGCACGGTTGCTTGTGCGAGATGGGTAGGGAAACCGCAAGTCTCACAACAGGCGAAAAGTTGAGCCAGGTGGTCGACAGCAACGGGGGGCAAAGTTTTGAGCTCCTCCGGGCTAAAGCCGCAATAGCCTGTGGCCCGTCCGTTTTTGAGGCGCCGAATCTGCTTGGCCCACAAGCTGGAATCAAGCATGTTGACGGAGAGGCCTTGCGCCTGGGGCGGGGCTGGCGGCAAATTATGGAGAAAACTCGCCCAAGCAGCAGGATCAGAGCGGGCTAAACCCTTATCACGACACCAAATGGGGGCCCAGAAATCAACAAACACTCTGTTGAGCTCAACCGCAGTGCTGGCAGCGCTGGCCTGGACAAACTTAGCCTCAGATGGGAGTTCAGTCTCGCGGCACTGTAGGCGTAGCAAGGGGCCGTGAGCCTCAGTGCTCACGAGAGCTTCGACATGAACTGGAGTGGCATTAAGAGTGGCTGCCTGGCCAAGCCTGACAAACCTCGGCATGGGGAGGGAGTAGAGTCCAGAGGTCGGGGACTCCTGGCTGATCAGTCGCGCGGTCTGGTTTTCTTCATACGGTATGCATTGAACAGGCGGGCGCGGGTTGGGCCGAAGTGCTCGAAACCCAAGGCGTGAGCTGCCGGAGGTGCAGTCCTGGTGGACCTGGAACTTGGCAAGTTTCCTCCGATGCTCTGCCTCTGCACGTACATGGGCCTCTGCATCAAATTGGACAAATTGAAGAACTTCACGGGTCCACTCTATGCCAGGCAGACCTGACCAGTAGACAGGAAAATGATGGCATTGCAGGAGCCAGGTGGGAAAGTCAGGCGCATACCCCCTGCCCCGGGTGATGGCCGCCCATTCCTGGCTGAGCTGGGCGTGCACGGCAAGCGGCAGAGTGCTGTACGCAGCGGCTTTTGCAAGGCCTTGTACAAAGGTGGAGAGGCGCCGCACCTGCCGGACTTTAGCCCTTGCAACAACCGTAACCGCTTCACAAGTGGGGTTGTAGTCGCCGCAGCGGCCCTGCGGGGCTGAGCGCAAGTAAGGTCGTTTGCGGAGGGGACGGTATGCACAGCGTCCTCGCGCAGCCCTAGGCAGGGTGCGAGCTGGGCAGGAGCCAGGGTCAGCCTGATGAGCCGCACGAACAGCAGCATCAACTGCGCTTTCAGTGGCCGAAGCCCAGGTTTGAAATGCAGCATCAAGCTCATCCTTGGTACGACAGGAGTGGATGACCGCCTGCACCTGTTGGCTGTGGCAGGCATAGAACGGTGAAAGGTCAACCTCAGGCGGCAACACCGAAAGCCATGACCTTGGTTTGCGCCAACTCTGTTGGCATGGGGGTGCCACCGGCAAGCTGAACTCAGCAAGGAAAGGGGCATGGGAGTCGAAGTAGTGAAGGTCAGACGCGACTCTCGTCCCGAACATAGGGCAAAAACGTTCCAGGCAGAAGCAGGGTGTCATGGCGGGTCGCCTGCTTGCAGGTTGGTGGTAGGAGCTGTCCTGTTTGAAGCTGCCAGTACCGGAAAGCTTCAACGAAACCAAGCTGCCTAAACAAACCGAACTCAGGCAGGGCTGTGACATCAGTGTTGAAATCGCCCCCCACAATGGCGGGCACCGGGCATGCCACAATGCGGCGAAGGACTTCCTGCAACAGAGCGGCATTGCGGCCTCCTGCATCCTGATAGTTGGCCGGGAATCCGTAAACAACGAACACCCTGAACTCGAACTGGCCGACTCGGACATGACCTTCAAGGAGTCGTGCAGCTTGATCAAGCTGGGGCTCAAGTGGCACAAAGGACTTGCGAGCCGGGAAACGGGAAAGGAGGGCTACCCCGGAGGCATGCCCACGGAGCGTGGTCTGATGCTCACGCTGGCCCTGGTGTGGGGCCACAGGGGCACTCCACACGGTAGAGAAGCCAGCAGGCCGGAGCTTGCTAGCGACGATGCGTTGCGTCGCGGCAACAGCCGAGGTTTCGGACACAAGAATCACATCCTGGCCCAACTCTAGAATCTCCCTGTCCTTGTGTAGCAAAGCAGTGGGGTTGATCACGGCAACTCGCAGTGGTATGGCAGCCGGCTCATCCTCGGCACAAGTGGGAGCCGCGGTGGCGGTAGACGACGACTGAGAGGGCGTGGCTTGTGCAGGGCCCTCTGGCGCCGGTGAAAGAAATCGAAACTCGCTGAGGGCAGTCTGGCGGGTCGGGCCAGGGTTTCGGGCCTCGCCAACTCTGCACCCGTGGAGGTAATCAAACTGACCCACACGGACATAAAAGAAGTGATCAGGGTGCGCCGAACCGGCGCCCAGGCATCTGTGCGGACAAGAACAACCGTTTTGGAACGTAGTGGCGTAAACCCCAGTGCCACGCAAACAACTGAAAGAATGAAGCGCTGCTTCCCCGGCAACACTCAAAGTAGCAACATCCACACCTTGGTGGAGCGGCGCCCCCCTGGCTTGGCGCTCTCCCGACGGCGCCAAACACAGTAAGCACAACAGGCCCGTGCGGTGCCAAAATGGCAGGGGGCGTTTTGGCACAGATCTAAGCAGTCAAAGGTCATCCTCTTTATCGGGCTTGTGCTTCTTGGCTGCAGCCCTGTGCTCGCGGTTCTCGAGGAAGAGACTCTTGAGTTCATCGAGACTGCTCTGCATCTGGAGCTGTTGCTGGGACTGTGCAGTCTGCAACGCTTCAGCTGACGCCTGGAGTTGACGGGTTAGTTCAGATCCGACAGTGCTGAGCTGTTCCTGAAGACCAGCCGTAGCCTGAGCAGCGTTCTGGCGGTCAGTGGTTTGCTGCTGCACGAGCTGCGCGTGATTCTGCTCGTGCTGAGCTTTAAGCGCCTGGATGCCGTCCTCGAGGGCCTGAATGCGGGCGTCTTGCTGCTGAAAGCGCTGTTCGGTAGGACCTGTGACCGCACGTGGTTGTGGTGGCTGGGCTGTTGCTGCGGGTCTAGATCCACTGTCCCGGCTACCTTGAGACGACATGGAGAATCTCGAGTGACTCCAGGGGTCGCTGAAGAGCCAGGGGTCCTCGGCTGTCTTGGCGTCCTTAGTGGGGGCCGCGGACTCAGCTGGCATCCTGAGGTTGAGGCTGCCTGATTGCACCACAGACTGGCGTGCTTCCCTTTGCTGGACCGCATGAATAAGGACGGTCTGGCCATTGAAAAGTGGCCAAGCTGACGGTGGCTGCTCGGCTGCACCAACAAGCCAGTGGCACGGGCCAGATGCACGAATGACTTTGATGGTCCAGCTGAATTTGGAAGCCCAAGTTGAGACAGAAGCCGCATCAGCACCAGATGGGACGGGACCTACCCGGAACAAACACTGAACCGACACCCGAGCGGGGGCCGTCTGGCCGGGGCGCACAAGTCCAAAGGCTGCCTCGTAACGAGTTTCTGGCACTCTGAGGCCAAAGCGGTCTTTGGATCGAACAAGACCGCGTTGTTCAGGGATTTGCAGAGAGGCCTTGACTGCTTCCTGACGCTGGCCACCAATCCAAATGATGGAGTAACCAGGGAGCAAACTATGATCAAGTTGCCGAGGTGTGATGTAGACATTGTTATGGCCACTGGCAATCAGGAGGGAGTCTGACTCGCCCTTGGGAACCCGAGCCTGAAAATGGACTTGATCCGCTGCGCTGGGGCTGGCTATCTTGCCTTTGCACCTGTACTGTCGGCCCCAGGGGGCGGTGATGGCTTTGGCAGCCGGCACATCCTGGAAGATCGACAAGAGCTGCTTCACAGGTGCCTGGACGATTTGTTCCCACTGGCCAGTAGAGAACTCATCAGCAAAGGCAGTGAAGGTACAGCACAGTATATCCGGCAGTGTGACAGTGATGTCTGTGCGTTGGGAGGCGCGGATAGCCTTGCCACCAATGTTGTGGAGGCAGCCGGCCAGCAAGAGTTGTGAGCCACATGCTCGCCCAGTGGCGGGGAAGGAGATCCTGCAAGAGCAGCTGCCGGGCTCAGGGCACGTGTGGCCCAGCACAAGAATGCCAAGCTCATCTGGCTGAACCCCCTGGAGTGTGGCAAGAGCATCAGCAGCCTGATCACTGTCAACAAGGAGAAGGCCGGTGGCGCCTGGGCGGATGCCCTCTAAAATCTGAGCTGGGGAGCCATCCTCGTTCACAAAGAACCCAGCCTGGACCTGGACAGCTGAGGCCCGCAGCTGGTCAGCATGCTGAGCTCTGCGTTTTTGAAGCTGGCGCTTGGCGCGCTGGTCTGCCCTTTGGAACATGCTGGCGGTCTGCGGCACTGTGACTCCGAGATCCTTGGCATAGGCAGAAAGTTGGGCCCACTTGGAGTCATCACTGGTGGCCTTGATGGCTTGGCTGAGCCGGGCAGTAGTGCCTGCACTGGAGACTTCGTCAATGAAGGCTGTGGTAGTGCGCAAGTCAAGGCCCTGCGTGAGGCATACCGAGGCGGCTCGTGTCTGAGCCCAGTGCTTCTGTTCATCCTTGACGCCACCCCCAACGATGGAAGGCTGCAAAGTGAGTAGTAGCCGACCATTTTTGCGAACAATCCGTTGGTGCCGCCTTGACCTGACAGCAAGGAGTGAGTCCTCGGCGGACACAGGGTGCGGCCCTGAAAACACGCGAGCATCGGGTGGAAGGTGGCACGTGTTGCTGGCATCTCGCCACCAGGTTTCAAGGCTGGCAATCCGCAGAAGATCAGAAAGGTAACCCCACCAGATTCGCTGGGCCTCAATCTGTACTTCAACTGGCATGGCAGTCTCATCGCCTTCAGGAACTGAGGCTGCCTCGAAGCACGCAACGAGAAACCAGGTGCGCAACTGACGGGGCAGGGCAGGCGGGGGAAGGTGCACCCGCGCAGGGACCGGTTGCAAACAGATAGTCATGGAAGCCTCAGGGGCAGGCGGGAAATTATCAACCTGAGCATCCCAGCCATAAGCCAGCGCCAGATGAAAAGGAAATCCCAACCAAAGGTCAACCGCCCAGGTGGTGGGGCAGACAAGCTGCAACACCGGGTCGTGGAAATTGGCCTGTATGAACGGCACCGACGCTGCAAGAAGGCTGAGGGGAAGGTGAGGGGCCTCAGCAGGCGAAGTATTGGCAACCACACAGCCCTCAAAGTCATCTGCAAATCGCAAACGCTGACCTGAGGGGGTCCAACAGCACAGGTCCTCAGCATCCGGTGTGAGGAAGTCAAAGACATTAAGGAGCTGCGTCCACATGCGCGGTGACCACGTGTCAATTATGAAGACCCCATTGGAGACCAGAACAGTGCACAACCCGGCAGCGTCCGCACATCCCCCTGCGAAGCCTGCACAATCTAAGCTGGGTGGCGTTTCAACACTCAGGCGCAGGGCATGGATTCGGTCGTAGGCCGTGGCTGGCAGTGCCGATGCAAGGTGAGCAACGCCGAGGTGGGAGAATACCCTGAGTGCTTGGGCTCCTGCCGGTGCATAAACCGTCAATGCAGTCTGGCTGGCCTGAAAAGTGAGAGGCACAAAGTCAAGGGGCGCCGTTTGGCCAAGTGACGGCAGGGGCTTCAAGACACCAGAGACAAGAAGCTCATAGATCCGGTCTTTACGACAGAGGACCCAGTCTGGGCCCCTGGGCAGGAAAAAGGCATTGGCGTTATGCATGCGGGCAGACAGGCAGCTTGCTACGGCCTCTGCTGGTGCCGGTGCACCCTGAAACCCTAATGCATGACAAGCATATGCAAGTCCAGCTGCCGCCTGAGGGACTGCCAAGCTGTTACCGAGCAAGCGCATTTGGCATCTACGGTCCTCCTGTAGTAGCATTGGGCGAACAGCGCCATGAAGAGCTGCGACCTCCGCACCGGAGAAGAATCGCAGCACGCCCTGGTGGCGAAGCAGAAACCCCAGGAGGCCTCTAGAGGACAGCTGGTTTTGGGGCAATTCATGCTGAAACTGGTACTGGGCCATGAAGCAACCCGCTGTTGTCGCTGCAGTTCGGATGCGGAAGGCCTCGACACGGCTCTGCGAGACCTGACCCATTCGGGAGGGCGGCATGAACCATGGATCCATGTAGGTGGCAACGAGTTCCTCTGGGAGGATCAGTGGCTGCAGGAGGCTGTCTGGCAGGTCAAATAGCACCTGTGCTGTTGCAAGATTGTGACGCTTGGTGCAGGCCCAGTGGTGGCCTGTCAAAGCTGGAGGCCCGTGGCAGGATTTATGGCGAAACACAATCAATGTTCTGGGCCGGGAGCTAGGCAACACATCCAGCAGATCGATAGTGGCTTGCCAAACAATCTCGTAACCGACCTGGGCCCAAGCCGCAAGGACAGTTTTTGCATGTGGGTGTCTCAAAAACCCACCGACCTGTTCCAGCACAACAACTGGAACCTGGATTGCACCTAGTATGTCAATGGCTCGCAACATGAGCTGTCCATCCTCAGATGCAAGCCCTGCGCCTTGGCCCGCTTCGCTCCACGGCTGGCAAGGAGGCGAAATGGTTGTGATATGCACCGGTCGGATGGCAAAGATGCGCAACCACCAGTCACTCTGAATACTGGAACAAACATGAACCGACCCAGGAGTGTCATCGAGCAGATCATCCAAATCAGAACCACGCCAAATACAATGCAGCCCTGGTGATTGAAAGCGAAGCATGTCTTCACACTCTGGATCAACATCCAACGTCCAAGATGCATGTACTGGTGTGCCACCACGGTGTAGAATATACGCAGCCTGAGACCAACCTGAAAAGCCACCACTGAAAACCTCAGCCATACAAATTGACGAGTCGGCCTCAAGCGCCGCTGTGCAGATGACGGTCGTGTGAGCATGAGTACAGTCCAGCATACAATCCTCGGAAGAAGCATGTACCAAAGACTGAATGACCTTGAAGACCCCTGTGCTGTCCTCAAGTGCTAGCCAGTCGGAGTGCCGCAGTTTGAGCAGCACCTTGCCTCCCTTAGTGAATCCATCTGCCTGCATGACATACGCCCGAGACAATAACCCGGAGGGTGTGGACACCGCATTGCCGAATGGCCTAACCAGAAAGTTCTGAAGGGTCCCATTCAAAGACGGATCAACCTCGATTGCCAGCTTGGAAAGGCGGCGCCACTCCCCAGCGATTAAATCACCCGTTGCGAAAGCACTTGCCGAAGAAACCATGGCCCGATCAGCACCCCTCCCCTAGGAGGGGCAACGGCGTTGCCACGAGTAGGCTCGGACCAAAACGCTCCTAAACCCTAAACCCTAAACCCTTAAACCCTAAACCCTTAAGCCCTTTTTGAAGTCACCGGCCGCCCCTGTGGGCCTGGCCCGTCACCTCTCGAAAGGCCCGGACATCCCCGTGACCTGAGAGGTCGCAAGGGGACGGAGACCGCGATAGCGCCCGTTTAGGGAAAGTTTAGGGATTTTTTGGTTTCAGGATTAATTTTTAATGAGTTTAGGGTTGTTGGGTTTTAAGTTTAGGCTTAGGGTTTATGGGGTTTACATAGGCATTCGTGAGTTCAGGGGTTCTTGGGTTTAGGACGTTTCGGGGTTTCGGGTTTCAGCCTTTATGTGTCTAAGAGTCTACACAGATCTGCAAAAAAGGGGGCAACCTTCTTCATTGGGGTTTTGGGGGTCAGGGTTTAGGGGGCTTGAGGCTTGAAGGGTTTGGTGGCTCAGGGTTTATAGGGCCCCTTAATAATTTATGGCCTATAGGATTACAATATTGTGTTGTAGAGGGCTTATATGAACTTATGTGGCTACAGTATAAAAAGGCTCTAAAAGCGTTATAGAGAGCCCCATATCCTTGCCAAAACTGGCGAATATGTTGCACGGAGTGATTGGCATGTTCCTTAAGTAGGGGTAATGTAGATCCCTGATTGATGATACACCTCTCTGAACAAGGGTCAGGATGCAGGTCCCAACGTGAAGGCAATTGAAACAGTGATTTGCTAAACAAGGATCCGCGTTACATAACTCCTGAAAGCAACCTGTACAACATCATCATGAAATCAGATCCGAAGCCTGAACCCCTCCTAAAATTGAACGAGGTCCCATCCGAGCTCGGCTTCTGGGGCTTATGCTGATGCCCCGAACTGCCCGAATACCCGAATACTAAGGTTCTGCGTGCCAAGAACTACTCAGATCCTACTAACTATTTCGAGTTTTATGTCCCCAACCTTTAGCATCAAAATAGCCCAAAAGCCTTATATAATAGGATCTTTGGGCCCCAAANNAGTCCTTTGAGGGTAAGGGCAAGGGCCCGGGTGCCCGAACACCGGGGTTTTGCCTGCCGAGAACTACTGTTGATGATAGAAATCCTGCATTACCTTAAGGACCCTAAACTATGGGAATTATGGTATGTTCCTTATTATGGGTAATGCAGGATTTTGATCATCAACCGTAGTGGGATCCTGCTGCTTCGTACCTCGACCTTCCAAAAGCCCATAAGTAAGGAATGTATCCTAAATCGGCTTACCCTTACCCTCTAAGGACGCATATTTTGAGGCTTTTGGGCCCAACGACCCCATTATTTAAGGCTGTTGGGCTATTTTGCTGCTAAGGGTCAGGGATCCGATTATATTTTAAGGGGCCATACTCCTCAATAAACGGATGTCAAAAGGTCTGGGTAATCCGGGTCTTCGAATCCTGTAGGTTCGGCTCTTTGGGACTATGTAGGGAATGTAGGCAACCTAATATTGGGGTCCCTAAAGACAGGGAGTTTGGAAACTTTATCATTAACCCGCATTGGTTCTGTAGACTCATTAATGGAGCCGTTTCTAGCCCGAGGGTTCAAAGTTCCTCAAATGCCCTGAATAGTATGGTCTTTGGGCAAAAAAGCCCTAAACCATCAGTTCCAGGGGGTTTCGGGTGAGGCTTTCTGCGAGTGGGACTTAATGGATACAGTTATAACTATAGCTGCTTGAACTGGGGTTGTGATTACTCTAAATGTATAGTAACTGTATTTATACCCATGGTTGCTTAGTCCCATTAACATTTTAGCAGGCTTTCTGCGACCGCTCTCCGGGCTCCAGGCACGACAGGGGCCCTTGTACCCCACCCAGAAGCTGTGATCGGAGGTGATCCTTTCGCCTGCGGTTTGAAGCCGTGTACTTCAGGGGCGTCGGGTTTAGGTTTTTTGGTTTTGGGGATTAGGGTTTAGGGGCTTAGGGCCTAGGGTTTAAGGTTAAGCTTTCGGGCTTCAGTGTAGCTGTTCTTGATGAAGTTCATGTTTGTCTTCAACAGATCTTGTTGACCTGCGAAGGTTTACCACGGTGGCCAAAGGCTTTGATGGGGTCTGCTCACCTGTCCTGCTGTAGCAGAATGTTTGGGTACTTTTGGTTTCGGACTAACAGTCACGACCACGACGGTGATGAGAGGGCAGTGATGGTGGCGGTGATGTTGACGTGGGTGAACATGAAAATGACGAGGAATGCAATGCTCATTTTTCTTCAGGGTTTTCGGAGAAGGAAACCCTGTGTACAGATGTTAACGGATGGGGCGAAGATGCATGAGATTGACGAATACGGTGATGCTATCGAATGCGACAACGACGAAGATTTCGACGAGTCTGACATGATGATGGTCAGCACGTGCACCGTCACCTTCGTGCCAGCATCAAGTGCCATGTTACATTGCAAACACATGCCTACATGAATCCTGAATACACACGTACATCCATTGGTCTTGAATGCTTTCAGGTGTGGTAACTTAAAGGACATTGTATGCTCAGTATAGGTTACAGCGACTGCACTTCTGTGTCATGCACGGCCCACTTAAAGTTTTCATTTA